GAATTCAATTATTTTAATTGTTTTCATCATTTAACATTCTATTTTATAATTTTTTTCATTTAAAAATTAGATTAACACTTGTGTATTTTAGACAGAACATTCATTGACCTCAAAAAAACACTATAAATTATAAAATATGACAATGATAATAGCAAAGAAGATAATGTTCATTAAACACACACACACACACACATACATACATACATACATACCATGTTTTCAGTTATGCTTCAATAGACATTACCAAGTACATACATACACACATGTACATACGCACACACACACACACCGCATACCTCTTTATGTCACTTACTTATGCATAAATAATGAATGTGTATGTTACCTATATTAATATATATATAGATGATAACTTGTGGTATCAATCTTATTTATGGTTTTCTTCTTCAAGCTGTGAATGAACAACATTACCACCAACTGGTTTATCAAATAGATATTAATGGATAAACAAACATATACACATAGACAGCAAAAGGTTTTATGGTTACAGTTAGAATATGGGTTAGCAATGGAGTGTTATTTCGAACGAGTCAGTTAGGCGTAATTACATCTCAGTGTAGATATTAATGTTAGGATTCGAACTCAGTACCTTGCATTCTAAACACCCATCCACTAAGTTACTGGGTTCAGATAATCTCTGACCTGTTTAACGGGTATAAATTTTAAATTTAAGTGTTTGTATCTTCCTGTTGTTAATATGATGAGTTACAACTGATCATTCTCATTTGGTATATGTGCATCCTGTGACAACTTCCTTGGTATAGTCATTCTGTCATAAGTTTATGTATTTAAAATTCCAATACACAGATACGCATATATGTATACATTGTGTTAGACACAAAGTGTACCTCTTTTTAAATAAAGATGGATAGTGGATAATAGTAGAATCCAGGACGCGCGTTTTGTCGTATTCGGAACTCGTCAGTTGGATGTGCCTGTATCAAAATTGATGTTGACTCCAGGACTCCAACCCAGTAATATTCACTTCAAACACCATCGCGTTAACCGCTTAGCTACTGAGACCTGATTGCCAGCTGTTTGGGCAAAATACTGAACATTTCACGACTTATTCAGTATTTTTCGTCAAGTAACAACAATGTTATATAGTAAATTAACCTAAAGCAAATAAAGAGGGTTAATTCATTTTGACAACAGCTTATTGCATTCTAGCTCTTTCGATTTTCTTTAGATTCATAAATTGGTTTCTAGTTTAAAGGGAAAAGATTAACAAGCTAATTAACTATTAGGAATTCCGAAAATAATACATTACTAATGACCACATTAGAGATTGAATCCTTATCTTCCAGTGTTCAAGAAAATATCACAACAATATACATCAGCTAAGTTGACATATGACTAAACTATACACTTCTAATCTTAATTATATAATAGAGCAAATACAAAACCCCTTCTGATATTAATCAACACTGAACGACCTACTGTAGGACTCCTCAGCAGTGCTCTTCAAGTGACTCATGATCTCAACCATTGAAATTACTATAATATCCACAAAAGTCCTTTTGATATGAATCAACATATACTCACGAGTGATTAGCTTCAAGAGGTTTTTCCTGGAGTTCTAGTGAGAAACAGTGTCCAATGGAGTTCAACCAGATCTGTTGTGAGATAATAACTCACTGAAGACAATGGTAGATGTGTCACTGAATTTCATGGATTAGTTGAATTTACACATTAACACCATTGAATACCGACCAGCTCAGTGGTCTACAGTTTGATACATACTAGGTTCGAATCTCACAAGATGGGATTATGGATGAGCATTACTTAGTAGTCGCATAATAGGATAAATTGTCCATCCAGTACTTCTAAAATGTTTCCATATTTGTCTAACTTCAATTGACTCATAATCTTAACTATTGAAAATACAATTGTCTCCTAATAACTTTATGAAAATGGTAATAAACTAGAAATTCCTTCTTTTTTTTCTAAAAAAAAAAAAAAGAAAAAAAGAAAAGAAAAGAAAAAAAGAAAATCAAAAACGAAGTGGAATATTTACTTTTCACTTTAATTTTTTTTTCTCTCTCTCTTTGTTCTTTGTTAGTTTTATTTTTAAATATACAAAGTAATTTCACATTGACTATGACAACAAACAACAAATGAAAAAAAAACAGAATCTTTTCTTCTCTATTTATTTATTTTTAACTTGATTTTAATGCAAAACGGAAATCATTGGTCTGTAACGGTTTTTATGTTTCTCTCTCTCTCTCTGTGTGTGTGTATGTATGTGTGCATGATTCCTATGTATGTATGTATGTATGTATATATGTGTGTGTGTGTGGTTGGATGAATGTAAGACGAAGAAAAGTCAGTATAAAAATATCCATCTGATAACAATTTGGTTGAATATTGTAAATATGTGAGAGAATTCTTTTTCTCTCTATCTTTCTCGTGTGTGTGTGTGTGTGTATGTCATGCATAACACATTCTAGCTATATACACATACAAATCACGGTATCTTTGATATGTGTATATACACTTGTCTTGTCTTATATAGGTATGTTGTGTATAAGTGGGGTATCAGTAGTATATGATTTGTGTCTAAACTATTTTTACTTACATGTTATTAATGGATATAAATAAATTAAGTAGTCAAACACATAAAAATATAATTGAGTTATTTTTATGTTTAATATTATTGTGGTGTAATGGACTCTTATATAGTGAAAGGTACATTTCATCTTTTGATTGAAATCATAAATCGATTGATGTAAGATGGGTATGGGACTCCCCAGTAGTGTGTATTCATGACCCCGCTCACGAGACTTGTATCCAGGACCTTCAATTTCATGTATAAACGCTTAAACTCTAGACCATCGAGACAGCATCTAACAGTGTTAATGTCTAACTTTAACCAATCCACGAAAGTGTACGACCATCTTTTATTTGTCTGTAGTTGATACATATCTTTAACTGGTATAGATTAGCTCCACTGGTTACATTTCGTCTTACTAATGTTGAATAGTGACTAGCAGAGAGTATTTCATCTTATTTAAGACATGTTAGTTCTATGGATCAGCATAGCAGCAGTCTCTGCATCAGTAGGCCTCAACATACACAAACGGAAAACCAAGGTCCTCAAACACAACACGGAGAACAGCAATCCAATCACTCTTGATGGCGAAACTCTGGAAGACGTGGAATCCTTCACATACCTGGGAAGCATCGTCGATAAACAAGGAGGTTCAGATGCAGACGTCAAGGCGAGGATTGGCAAAGCTAGAGCGGCATTCCTTCAACTGAAGAACATATGGAACTCAAAACAACTTTCAACCAATATCAAAGTCAGAATCTTCAATACGAACGTCAAGGCAGTTCTACTGTACGGAGCTGAAACTTGCAGAACTACAACAACCACCATCAAGAAGGTACAGGTATTTATTAATAGCTGTCTACGCATGATACTTAACATCCATTGGCCGGATACCATCAGCAACAGCCTTTTGTGGGAGAGAACCAACCAGCTTCCAGCTGAAGAGGAAATTAGGAAAAGACGATGGAAATGGATAGGACATACATTGAGGAAATCATCAAACTGCATTACGAGACAAGCGCTAACTTGGAATCCTGAAGGGAAGCGGAAAAGAGGAAGGCCAAAGAACACATTACGTCGGGAAATAGAAGCAGATATGAAAAAGATGAATAAGAACTGGAAAGGGCTTGAAAGGATTGCCCAGGACAGGGTTGGATGGAGAATGCTGGTGGGCGGCCTATGCTCCTCCACGAGGGGTAACAGGCATAAGTAAGTTCAATGTACTTGTAGTTAGTGGTTATATGGACTCAATAGCTCAACGGATAAACTGATAGGGATTTGAAGGGAAAGGTATTGAGAACACCCATATCATAAGTCCTGAAATAAGATGAAAAAGTCATCCTCAATTCCACTACTGATTTTTATTCAGTGTCATTAAATGATGATTTGTAACTTAACGGTAATATCCAGGAAACCCGCACAGTATTAACGTATGCCAAAAGAAATTAATTCCAGTCCTTTACCTAGATGAATATTCATCTTTCTATGATTCAACTTCAGTAACACTGATATATCAAAGCATATTCTCTTTAGATTTGAAGTCTCCATTGGAGGATGCTAGCAGTCATTATTGTTGAAATGATAAAAGTCGATTACGATATCTACTTGTTTGTAGTTTTCATTTTACTTTTAGGACTAAAAGTTTTTGAAATAAGATGGTAATTAGAGGTAGTCAAGAGGAAACCCTGAACCCGGATTCCGTGCTATTTGGCACTCGTCAGCAAAGTGTACCTGTAATCTTAATAGAAATGGTGTTCCCCTCACTGATTCGATCCCATGTCACCCAGCCTCATAATCAGAGATATTACCATTAGGCTATCCGGATCATTGGGTGGTGATCGATGTCATGTGTGTCAGATCCTTCTTAGTGAAGATCGAATGCTATCGAACAAGTTGTAATATGGCTACTTGTCTTGATGACTTGATATTGCGTGCACTAAAAATTTTTGTTCAAGTTTCAAATTTAAAGGTAGGTATAAAGATTTATGGGGGGAGACAATCTGTGTCTAATGTGAAGCAGTTACTCATTAGACACAATGAAAGATGGTCACACAATATTGTAGATTGATCGAGGTTAGACAATAACACCATTGGATACCGACTCAGTGGTCTAGGGGTTGGCGCACGAGACCGATATGCCTGGGTTCGAGTTTTGCATGTAGAATCGTGGATGAGTACTTTAAAGGAGTCCCATACTATAGTGAAATGATCTTTCAATGCTTCCAGGTTTTCAGTGGTAGTCTTACATGATTTCAGTGAAATTCAATCATCTCCATAACTCCATACTGAAAATAATCGAAAAATTATTGTTTTTTACTTCTTGTAGGTGTGTCCTTTTTTTTTTTATTAAAAAAACTCCCCTTTCTGACAAAATTGTCTTTAATGTTTTTCTTCCTACTTCATCTTCATGTTTCTTTTTTTTTCTTCAAAGGAGTATTAGTTGTCAATGTGACATGGAGAGGTCGAACGTATATTGGTACTTTGTTAGATGCAACACAACATGATTTCGCTCCACCTTGGTAAGTTAATATTCAATTATTCTTAATTACTAATTAGTTTGAAATGACAATTTTGTCATTTCTATAAAATTAATCATCTAATCCAAAGAAAAGATTAGATTCCATAGAAAAATTAATATCAGTAGAGGTAGTAGGAGTAGTGTAGTGTGTACTACTGATGTCAACAGATATAAGTAGTATGTATCATCAATTGAAAGTGGAATGCCTGACGGCAGATGGTTGAGAAAATTAAAGAGAAGAGAACGAGAACAGAGAGTGATTGCTATGGAAACGAAGGAGCAACAAACTCTGAAACAACTGATGAATATTTTGCAAATGAAGTATTACTGTATAGTTCTGAGATTCTACGAAGATATTCTGCAATGTTGTATTGAAATACATTTGATTGTCCTCACTTGTGTCTTCGTTCACCACAGTAGTCAGTAGTACTAAGCATTGTATTGTACAAGATAAACTATTCTAGTTAATAAATGGAAGATATCCAATAAATACACGGATCTAGATGATTGTTATCTCAACAGAAATATCCATAATTAATTAGTTTAATAGATCAATTAGAAAAGTTTATGTATGAAGTGAAATTTTTCTGATTTTATACAACTCTCACGTTTAACTGAGAAGAGATTTTTCTGCATAATTCGATATAAGACTTCCTCGTGGCATTGCAGAATATTAGGAGCAGCCTTGCTAGCCAACTTAGGCGATCGACAGACATCGGACTGATAACCCCACTCTGTTGTATCTTTGGCCAACTCGAGTTCCATTCGAGGCTCAATTAACTTCCCTGATGTGTATGTTTACAAAATAGGAATTGCAGAGGTTCTCGGACCTATGTATTTCATGTATGTAGGTATATGCAACGGGTGCACGTGTGGTGTCGTATAAAGGAAACGAGGGTTAAAATAGTCTTCCTAATCTGCCAAGTCGAAGACATAATAAAAAGATACGTTAGCAAATGATAGAGAGAGGTGACCAAAAACCTCCTCTGAGACAATGCTTCTACTTATGTATGTGTCAGGAAGTACTGGGGCGGTAGCTATGGGGTAAATAATATGCTTGTAATATGTAAGAGAGAGAGTCTGTATACATGTAAGGTATATTTGCTCACAAGGCAGGTATACCTGTATGTGTACAAAGCAACACTCGGATGAACGTCCATAGGGGGGTGGATTTGTTAGCCTTGAAGTCATGAAGCTCATTCCAGAAGGTCCTACATAAGATTCTCCAGAGAATGCTTTACCAACCGATCTGCCTGGAACACCGAGAAGAGATAAAATTTTGCAAAATACAATAATTAATATAACAAGATCAATGTTTCGTTGTTTGAATATCTTTTTGTTTCAGCATTAAGAACTAAAATGTTGTTGTCTAATGATTGAGATCATCTTCATTTAATTACAATTCGAAGTTACTCAAATTTAGCACAATCTCATTGATATACCTCATTTTCAATCAATGTTACAAATTGTGAAACTATTTCAATATCAATGATGGTAGGAAATTTTTTGATTGAGATAATGAATCGACTGATGTTAGACTACCGTTGGAAACCTGGAAGCCCTGGACGGTCGTTTCGTCCTAGTATGGGACTACTCAGAAGTGCGCATCCATGATCCCACTCGCAGAATTCGAACCCAGGGCCTTCAGTCTCGTGCACGAACGCCTAACCTACTCGATCACTGAGCCGGCATCCAATGGTGTTAGTGTCTAACATCAGCTAGTCCACGAAATTGCGCGACCATCTTCCATTGTACTGAGGTAGATACCTGTCTCTACCCGACATGGATTAGCTCCACTGGTCACGGCTTCTCACTCCTTCACGAAGCTGAAGGCCCTGGGTCCGAATCCCGCGAGTGGGATCGTGGATGCGCACTACTGAGGAGTCCCATACTAGGACGAAACGGCCGTCCAGTGCTTCCAAGTTCCCAACGGTGGTCTAATATCAATGGATTCATGATCTCAATCAAAAACCTAATAATTTCCGCAACCCCAATAATGGTAAGAAATTGTCTTAAATTTGTAATAAGAGACATTGAGAATAAAGTTTCACTAAATGTTTCATAAATCAATCTCTAATTATAATAGGCAATTATATTTTAACGGTTAGGATAGTCAACTTACGATCAGAAGTTGTGGTCGGGTTTGTCTATCATAATGATCCAGTCAAATTATATTGACTGGAATAATTATTCTTTTAAGTCCTATTTAATTTCAATAGTTGAAATCATGAGTCAGTTGAAGCTAGACCAACATGGAAAACCTTGAAGCACTGGATGGATGTTTCGTTCTAGTATGGAACTCTTCCGTGGCAGTGCGCATCCACGATTCCGCCCCTCCCTTGCGCGCGAGCGCTGAACCATTAGGCCACTAAGCCAGTCGGCATCTAATAGTGTTAATGTCTAACTTCAACCAATTGTGTGTTAAGAGTTCGAATTGTACTGTAACAAATATAAGTAGTATTTATTAGAACTGTTTCTTTTTTATTTTATAGTCCAAGAGATTACATACCTCCATTTAAATCATCAATACGATCTAGTAATCGTACAAAACGTCGAACTGGAGTTGGAACAAATTACAAGTCAAATTTAACAAATCATCTTACAACGAATGATTGTAATTGGAAATCTACTTCAACTGGAAGACATCGATTACGTGGTCGAGCTTCAAATTCACCTGCAGTCAATAATAATAATAATAATAATAATAATAATAATAATAATAATAATAACAATAATAACAATAATAATACTAATAATGGTATGGAGACTATTTCAACAACAAATCGATGCAATACACATCATTTAACAAAAATCGATACTGAGAAAGAATTAATCAATGATAATACTATTCAAGAGGATAATGATTTAATTCAATGTCTTCCTCCTCATATCTCTGATGAAGAACAACTAACACGAAATAGTAATCATAGAAAAATGAAGTTACATAATAAAAGTCGTAAACTATTTCGAGGTAGTAGTACATCATCTAGTGATTGTCCATCGGAAATTCTACCAGATCTTGAAAAATTATCTGATATTGGAGATTTCACTAGTAAAACTGATGGAATACTTTGTGATTCACAAAATCTTGATCATTCTCGATCACATACTCCATTATGTACAAATAATAATCATAATGTGAATACTAATACTACTATTAATAATAATACTGATAATACTAGTAGTGATCGTGTTTGTTTTGAAGAGAATGATGAATTACATGAAACATTTCCAATTGGTTGTCCAATTAATGGTTGTAAAAAACGTTTCTCACATGTTCTAGCATTACGTTTTCATTTAAATCATACATCCCATTGTAATTTATTAGATTCACATAAGAAACGTCCTTCTAGTATTGATTTAAAGAAAAGAGATTTCACTAGTACCAGCTCTATTACAACAACAACAACAACAACAACAACTACTACTACTACTACTACTACTACTACAAGTACTACTACTACTACTACTACTACTAATACTAATACTAATGATAATAAGAATAATAACAATGCAGGGAATTGTAGTTCAATACATTTGAAGTGTCCACCAACTATTTCACCATGTCATCCTTCCAGTTCATCCCCATTAGCAACAGGAATAACAACTCCAGGTCTATTGAATTCACTCGGTGGACCATTATTGTCATCGTCATCATCATCATCATCATCATCCTTGTCATCCTCGTTACAGCAACAGTTAAAGCAAGAATCTAATCTATATGATCCACAATTGCAAAGTTGTTCAGTACCACAATTAACATGTGAATATAATCGAGATATAATATCTATACCTGTACAACAAAATAACATGTCTATTCATCATAATTATAAATTGTATAATAAAAATGAACAGAAATTATATGATACAAATATATCCAATGATTATATAAATGTAATAATGAATACCAATAATACTAATAATGATAATAATAATAGTAGTATGAATAGTGTAATGCATTCAGTTAATAAACAACGAAATAATGAAATAAATAAGCATTCTGGCAATAAGAAACGTTTATCTACATCTATGTCATCTAATACTACTAATAATAGTTCAGTTATTGATATCACTTCATTGAGTAATTATAATGGTAATAATGTACGTACAGTAACAGCGCATACAGTATCAGTGCCTCATGGTTGTTCATTAGAGATTGCCGGCAATTCAAATTCCCGATCTAATCATCATCATCATCATCATCAACAACAACAACAACATCATCATCATCATGGACAACAACAAAACCATCCAACTAACAATGGTAATTCATTTCCATGCTCTAAGCGAACAACTCCAACATCATCATCGTCGTCATCATCATCATCATCATCAGCTACTCCACGTGATTTCAGTAGTAAACATAAAGGGGGACAACAACAACAACAACAGTTATCAAATAAATTTTCTTATCAAAATATAAAAACCGATAATAATAATAATAATAATTCTACAGTGATGAATTATTCTCGTTACAGTAGTGGTCCTTATCATTGTAGTAGTTTAGAGCAACCGTCAATAAAAACTGAATTAAACAATGATTATATGATGAATTTAACAATGTGTCATGCATTATCGAATACTACCGCTACTACTACTACTACTACTACTACTACTACTAATACTATGAGTACAATGTCAAAATTGAAGAATTTAACAGTTAACCAGCAAGAATTTAATACATCACTGTCTAATAATAGTAATAATAATAATAATAATACTATGATTCCATCGTTACTTTTTCAAAATGCATGGAATCTTCAACTGCCGAATTCGTCTACCTATACACAGTCTATGCCATTGTCGTTTAATAATAATAGTAAAGAGGATGAATTGAAATCTAATATGAATTCATTAACTAATGGTTTATCATCTTCATTATATTTGCCCACATATCCAAATATGCCAACACTTACTTCTTCGGGTAACATTGTTAATAACAGTCCCATAAACACAATGCCATGTTCATCCACACCGTCATTATCCATGCATGAAATGTCTACAATATCTCAACCATTCAATGATATAAAACAATATATTCCATCTAATCATCATCATCATCATCATCATCCACTTGGTACAAGTTTAAATACTACTTCAAATCAGAGTGCAGATCTTAATACTACTACTACTACTACTAGTACTATTAATAGTACTAATAGTATGTATTATGGTATTCCAGACTTTTTAGTTGCTGCTTTAAGTACTCTAGCATCAAATGCTTCATCATATTCCTGTATACCGGAAGCTTTTAAATCATATTTTAATCAAAATTCTTTGATGAACAATACTACTAATCCTACTAATACTACTAATATGAATAATAATGATAATTCTATAAATAAAGTAAATAATTTATCCTCTTCAACTATGTCAGTTTCATCAAATTCAGGAATATTGGATGGTACCATGAATAATCGATATTTTAATCCACAATTCTTTCAAAATTATGGGACTAATCTTTCAAATGTACAAAATTTTCAATCATTTAATACTAATAATAATAGCGGTAATTTAACTTTAAATCCGGAAAGATTAGATCCATTGAAGCTATCTGCAGGTAAGTATAGAATAGAATAGAATAGAATAGAATAGAATAGTATAATCAATAGAGTTATGTTGAAGTTTGAACATGTCCGGTACCAGTATTTATGACATACTTGACACAAATCCTAATCATCTATTTCGACACAAAATGTTAGATGGCATAGAAGTAAGTTAGAAAAGTAACCAAAGGGTGGTCAAATCATGATATAATATCAGTCGATGAAGTAATTGACTTTAAATTTGAGTCAATTCAGTAGTTGTGTATATTCAGGTAGGAGCCTACTCCTGAAGGAATAATAGTATTCACTTTATTCGGAATACAAAATATGTTGTAAATCTTAGGAAAAAAAACTATCTATAAATAGTCAGTATAGGATTGTAGAGATTGTTTAATTTCATTGAAATAACGAACTGATCAATCCTAAAGCACGACTGAAAACCTGAAAACAATGGACAGATGTTTTGTCATAGTATGAGACTCACCAATGAATAACTTCGAGTGGAAATTTCAGGATTTCTAGTGAGAAACCGTGACCAAGGGAGCCAATCTGTGTCGGGTGTGAGGCATTTACTCATTGAATACAATCAAAGATGGTCACGCAATATTGTGGACTGATTAAGGTTAGACAATAACACCATTGGATACCGACTCAGTGGTCTAGGGGTTGGCGCACGAGATCGATATGTCTGGGTTCGAGTTTTACATGTGGGATTGTGAATGCATACTTCTGAGGGGTCCCAGTGCTTTCAGGTTTTCACTGGTAGTCTAACTTAAATCGGTTCATGATATCCGTAAATAGGCTTTTGTACAATGAATAACTATCATTCATTTTGAACCGTAGTTTTTTTCGACCACGTTTTAGATGTAACAATTACCTTTGTTATGTTTATTGTCAGTTGAAATAAATACCGAACGGGAAGATTTTTTATTAATAGTTATATAGTTGGCTGAAAAGTTCTTATTAGAATTTCACAGACAACATTTAAGAAAAAGATAAGGAATGTGTATATGTTGTGCGCTATTTTAAACTGATTATCAGCCGTATCAATTGAGATCAGTACGGGGTTGTGGAGATTACTAAGTTTTTGATTAAGATCATGAACCGATTGATGTTAGACCATCATTGAAAATCTGGAAGCACTGGATGGCCGTTTTGTTCTATTGCCGGACTCCTCAGCAGCGCGCATTCACGATCCGGCTTACGAGATTCAAACCCAAGACCTTCAGTCTCGCGTGCGAACGCCCAACCTGCAGACCACCGTGCCAACCAGTATCCATCGGTGTTAATATCTAACCTCAACTAATCCACGAAACTGAGCGACCATCTTCCATTGTACTAAAGTAGATACCTGTCTCTACCCGACATGGATTAGTTCCACTGGTCAATTAAGATTCTTAATCATTGAAGTGGAATTATGCAGTTATACGAAGATTGTAACACGGGTTGATTAACAAGATTGAAAAATGCATTAAGTTTAGCTTTGGTACTAGGGAGTCAGTGTAATATGTAATCAGAATTTTAGTTTAGAAATATTTGCAAAATTACCTGATTGTATTATGTTTGCTGATTTATTGAATACTTCACAGGAACTGTTATTATTGGTATATTTATACATTATTCATATCTATTAAAGTGGTCAATATGAATCCGTGAAGAATTGTCGATTCCGATGTATATTGGACAACTGTTTCCATTTATAAGCAAAGATGGATAGTGGCTAGCAATGGAATCCAGGACGCACGTTTCGTCCTATTTGGGACTCGTCAACTGGATGTACCTGAATCTCAGAGTTGATGTTCACTCTGGGACTCGAACCCAAGGTACCGTTCGCTTCAAACGCCATCGCGTTATCCACTTAGCTACTGAGTTCTGATAGCCACTTGCTTGTGCAATGGGTTGAAGTTTAATTCACTTGGTATTGTTTTACAAGAAGTATAAGGCAATACGCACAGTATGAATATATGCCAATAAGAGACTGATCAATTTCAGTCCTAAACATCAATGGGAAGATTCAAGTACAAACAATACCAAGTGAATGTTTCCACTTAGTTTGAAACTTCTTAAGATATCATTCTTACTTTAACATCTTTGAGTTTATTCCCATGAGGAATTGTGAGAATATTACTGTCTTATACTTAACAACTACCCTGTATTATTATTTGAACACATAGATATTGGTACAAGGAGTCACCAAATACATATGCAACACACAAATCTCATTTGATTTGTGTGAGGACTGTGATACTGCCCGGGTGCCCAAACCGAAACAGGTGGTTTTCTTAGGGGGCCACAAACCGAGCCTTCGACCTAAAGGTCTAACCCACAAGGCAGTGGAGCATCTTAAGGAAATGCAGTCTCATGGTAGCTGGTGACAAACTATTGATTCATACTCCATTTGTTCCTTCAGTATACTGGAGTTAGCCTATGTGCACCATTGATTTGGAATCAGGATTTTCCAACTCCCCCTAGATGGATCCTTCGTGTTCACCAACCCGGTTAAAGCGTCGGACACTGGCTCTTCGTCCTCTCGATTTCGTAAACAACACCCGCGCCACGAGAAGACAGTGAGTAGGACTTCCTTGGCAGAGACTATATACGCGTGGCCACGTGAGAGCATTTCGAGAGGGTGAGTGAACTCTCTCCACTCTCAGCTGTACCATGGCATTTTGGGGCAACAACTACCCTGTGTTACTTTCTAAGTTGTTTTATTTTTAACTGTTCATAATGTAAATTAATTTTTTTTCCATTATCAGTCAATTTATTAATTTTATTTTTCATATTCTCCAACCTCTTTTACACTAGCTTACTTGATGCAGTATTCAAATCCAGGTGCAACACAATCATCATCATCATCATTATCTACGGGAACGTCAACTTTTGGGAATAGTATATTACCGTGACAATGAATTCCTTTCAGTCAATGTTTCTATTGACTGTTATTTCTTTCTTTTGTTTCATAGATATACTTGTCTTTCATTAGTTAATAAATCTGTATTAAAAACATATTACATATTACTAATTAATTAATTAATTATTTATTTATTTATTTAAACAAATATCAACTATATTACTTATATCTGTGTATGTTCACATTCTATACATTAAATGTATTTACTTTTCTTTCTGTGAATGAATCTTAATTTAATTACATAACAAACAAACAAACAAACAACAACAACTCAATTCCTATTACATTTGAAACATTCATCCAAAATCTGTACTACTACTAGTAGTACTACTACTACTCTGGACAATCGATCAACCAGCAGTTCGAAACAAAACACTAATATTGATCAGGTTGATGGAGTTCAATGGATTATTAAAAAGTAATCTATACTGTGAATAGAATATACACCATAAAATGTATCATCACAATTGGTTATCATTAATTGTTGATTAGGTCTTTTTCTTTTATTCTTCTTAGTATATTTATATATACATATATATGTTTATGTATATCTATGGTTTGTTTGTCTTTCGTTTTGTTTCCCTGATATCCTAACATTAAAACAAACAAACAAAAAGTGAGGGATAATTTCATAAAGCAACCTGTTACATATCTATTTCCGTTTACTCATACATATATATATATATCGCACGTACACATACACTTCTTCTTCTTCTTCTTCTTCTTTTAATTCTTTGGCCTTGACATGTATTCACATTTATCTTACAATATATATGTAGTTTCGATAACTACCTACTCTGCATATATACAAATACACACACACACACATATATACTTGTAAGCAACAACAACAACAAGAACAACAACAAAATGAAAACTACATTATTGTGCCAAGTTTTGTACAAGTTGTACAATATATTCCATTCAAGTAAATATGGTTCATTTCCCAATATATATTGATCTTTGTTTGTATTTAATGTTCTTTCTTTTGTAGCAGAATCATTCATTGAAAATAAAAACAAACAAACAAACAAACAAACAAGCAAGCAAGCAAACAAACAAACTTCTTTATATCTACCATATATACTTCTTGTTGACATGTCTCTTGTTTTCTTTCCTTCTTCTTCTTCTTGATTATTTAAAATGAAATACTTCAATTTGTTGTTTATTTCCATTATGTATTTGTAAATCTGAGTAGAGAAATGGAGTAGAATAAAATAGTCACATATATATATATATATATATATATATATAAATAAATGTTTCTAAAAATATAATCATGTCTTGTATGTATATACATATATATATATATATCCATTTATTCCCTTGTTAACTATTTCAAATATATGCATACTTAGTTACTTACTTACTTATGCCTGTTACCCCTCATGAAGGAGCATAGGCGGTCACTCACTAGCATTCTTCATCAACTTCTGTCCTATATAGATAAGTGGATATATATATATATATATATATATATATATATATATATATATATATATATATAAACAATCTGTCTCATTTCCCTTACTCACATTATTGTTAGTTGAAGGTATCAACACTAAAAAAAACATAAGTATACACACGTGCATTGATTACAACTAACACACACATATATATATATATATATATATATATGTGTGTGTACACGCTTGGATACAAATATTTCTATACGTAGACATAGATACAAACAGACAACATATATTGACTAATTTTGTATTTATATCTTAGTTTAATTGTTAAATAATTGATTCGATACATATAAAACGATATAGTGGGAAAGACATGTGTATATCTATATATGTATAGGTATCTCTTTTACAATTAAGCTTTTATCATTTCTTCTATATTGGAGTCATTTAGTAATATTCTATAGTTTAGTTCATTTTTATGCTTCTTCTTGTTCTTTACCTTCTTCTTACTTCTCTTTCTTTCTTTCATTCTTTATTTTGTATCTCAGTTCTGGCTTGTAAATGTTTGATCAAAATTATCATTAACTTAATTCTATTCCTTGTTAAAGGTTTTTTCTTTGTTTTATTTCTTTACGGAAAAACAAACAAACAAACAAACAAAATTTGTTTAACATTTATTAAATGATTTGTATTAATTTTGAACAATACTAGGTGTATGTTGTGTGTGCCTCAGAATGCCATGGTATGGCCGAGAATGGGGAGAGTCAGCAACCCTCTCCAAATCCTATCACATGGCCACGCATATATAGCCTCTGCCATGGAAGTTCTACTCACTGCCTTCTTGTGGCAAGGGTGTTGTTCACGAAATTGAGAGAACGAAAAGCGAATATCCGGCACTTTAACCCGGTTGGTGGACACGGAGAGTCCACTTAGGGGAGTTGGAAAACCCTGATTCCAAACCAATGGTGCACATGGGCTCCAGTATCCTGAGGGAACAAATGGTGTATGAACCAATAATTGGTCACCGGCTACCGTGGGACTGCATCTCCTCACGATTCTCTACTGCCTTGTGGATCAGATCTTCAGGTCGAAAGCTCGGGGTGTGGCCCCCTAAGAAAACCACCTGCTTCGGTTTGGGCACCCGGGCAGTATCACAGCCCACACACAAATCAAATAAGGTCTGTGTGGCGCATATATATTTGGTGACTCCTTGTACCAATATCTATGTGTTAAAATAAATAAATAAATAATGAACGTTGTGTGTGTGAGTGTGTACCTATGGGTATTCATATCTGTTGGATATCTTTAGACTATTATAACAGCAATTTTCTATAATACTGCTAAAGGCTACATGAACATATATATCTGAAGGGATTTTGTGGAGATTTTAGAAATTTCACTGGTTGATACTCCTGGAGTTCTAGTGAGAAGCTGTGACCAGTGGAGTTCAATCAGGTCTGTTGTGAGATATCAACTCACTGAATATAATCGTGTACGGTGGCGCAACTTCGTGGATTGCTTGAAGTTAGACATTAACATCGTTGGATGCCGATCGGCTCAGTGGTCTGATGGTTAAGCGCTCGCACGCGAGACTGATAAGTCCCCGGTTCGGATCACGCGGAGGGCGGGATCGCGGATGCGCACTGCCACGGAGTCCCATACTAGGACGAAACGGCTGTCCAGTGCTTCCAGGTTTTCCATGATGGTCCAGCTTTAACTGACTCATGATTTCAACCAGTGAAATATATATACAAATTAACTAATCAATAAAAATATCCTTAATCTGTGAACCTCTTTTAAAATGTGGATTCAATGTGTCGAATATATCAAATTGAATAGGTTGTATTACTTGTTGAAACTATGGAAGTTAAAGCAATGTGTTATAGAATCAAGTGGATGATTTCAGGTCACGGTGCCTAATTGCTTATGTAGATCGGTTGACGTTGGATTTTAAGTAGGAAGTTATAAGTGAGCGATCTCAACGGAAGAAATTACTGAGAGGCTCATTTATTTATGATTGCTCAACATTATGAAGATTATCGTGACGATGTTGTATTTCGATGTAATATACATTTGGGGAAAAAGTCTACTAGAACGGGGACTTTTTTCACTCGGTCCCGATTGACATAGAAAGGTTATGACAATTTTTGCAAACTGAAAAATAAGAACGCTAGTAACACTGGCTGCAACCTTTGCAGATATTACTGAGGTTTAGAAGTTTGGTGGTATGAGTACTGTCAAGATATATATGCAATGAACATGACAAGCTTGAATCAGTCTTTTGGAAGAATCGTAGGAATAGACGAAAAAGTTGTCAGAAAACGCAAATTCAATGGGAGTGTTATAGAAGACTGAGTAACTAACACTTCATTAAGTGTACTTAGCACGTCTTTGGTATATATGGTGGATCATCACAAAAGGGATACTTCCAGAGGATCAGAAACCGACAGGCTACAACAATTATACTAATTATAGGAGAGTATGTGCAGTCGGGTACCACAATATATGCAGATAACTAGCGAGTATATTGATGCCTATACGTGGTTACGTGCATCGCATCGTTGTTCATAAGCGACATTTTGTAAACTCCACCACGGAAGTACACACCAATAATATAGAAGCAATATGGTCAAGGCCAAAAGGATTTTTGCGACCTTATCATGACTCCAGAGGTCGTCTATTATGGAATCACATGGATGAATTCCTGTTCCGTATGCATTACGATTTAAGGGCTGCAGAGCCTCTTTAGAACCTTCAAAAGTTTTTAAACCAGGTTATAGAAGTATATCCATTCTAATTTTTTGGTCTTGAAATAACACCATACACATAAAAATAAAATCGGCTAATTTGAGCATGAGTATCAGCGTACTGTCAAAAGGTTGAAATGTTCAAGACTTGTTAAGAAAAATTCTTTTTATCATCATATCGTAACTTAAACACTAAGAGATCATAATTGGTGTACTTGTGTTTATTGTTCTTACAGCTTTAATGTTCCAACACCCATCAGGGATGATTAACTAATTAAATTGTCACAGAATCAAGCCAGGTGTTTCATTTCAGCCGGCTGGAAATCTTGAGCTTAGGTTTTGTGCTTATTCTTTTTGACACTTAATAATAAAGGTTAATTGCACTACTGAAGAAAATTATTATTTGAACACATAAATATTGGTACAAGGGGGCACCAAATATATATGCGCCACACAAAACAATGTGAATTTAAGGAAGAAAAAAGTAAGGAACGTAGGGGATTATAAAATAAAAAAAAGAACAATAATGGGGGGAGACGAAAAGGTACACTTAGAAGAAATCTTACATTATGGAGGATACAGCCACTTTTTATGAAGAAAGTAAAAGAAGGTTACAGCAGGATTGCCACTGGATTCTATTGAGCCATATCTGATAACGTCTCTAGTCACTGTGTTACACCATCTCACGGACCCCAGTCAGGGAGTCGTGAAGGACCAACAGAAGCCAGCCCTTTGCAGCTTTCTTTCATACCACGAAACCATGTCATACACTGACCACCTCTCCGCTTTTTCCAACCAGTCCCAGAGTCGGCAAATAATGCACGACGTGGAAT